TAGCTCACAATTTCTTTCTCTGTATAGTTCAAGAAGCTGGTTATTATCTTTAAAGCCCTACCTGGCAAAGGGCCAGGTTATTCATAAGACTGTCTCCTCCTGGGGGTATCTGCTTGCTCTACCATGTTAGATTGAGTGGCACATTTCAAATCCCTTCTCCTAAATGTTGCCATTTTAGCAGAACCAGGAAGTGTGTCTTTTCTACAGCAACCTCTACCATGTACAACACCTTCCCCTTGAGATCTGGCAGGCCTCCACCATTTGAGCTTTCCAGAAAGCTGCAAAAGATTGGCACCCCAGCCCTACCCCGCAAGGCATTGGGATTATGTCAAGTTGGAGCCCAAGGATTGTATTATTTGATACTGGAGACTGTTGCTCAGGCACCACTTTATGGTCTGAATGTCTTGTGCTTTTATTATTGGGGAGCTGCCCAAAATTGTGTTTCATAAGATGGGTGGTTGCACAAGTCTTTAAAATGACTATACAAACAGTGGTTACCTAGCATATCTGATAGGTTTTTCCAAGCCTGCTAGATAGACAAGTCGGATGCCATCGTACCAAAGTATGCATACATCCCCTCCGTGCCTCCCTAGTTGCACTGCTAATTAGTGGATCCTGTTAAAACAATGACAGATTAGCAGGAACATATTTGCATTGGTAATATTTGGAAATTCCCTTTGAGATTCAAGTTAAGAAGTAAATATCAACGGCAATCTCTATTTTGCCAGCAGGAAAGCCATTAATGTTGCTGCTGTGTACTATATCCTCAAGGATGTGACTGTCCATCTTACACTTCTCTTCATTAATCACTATTTTCATAATTTTAGTTTTATACAAAAAGATACATTTGTCTAAATACCAACTAGTCTATACAACATAGCCAGAACAGACTTTTCCTATCTCTTTGATTCTCTCCTTCTTAATCTATTGGGTTTGGATTTTCTCTGCCTTTAAACATGTCCTTTCCTTCCTTAGGCTAGAGTTACTTAATCTAAAAAAAAAAAAGAAGAACTGAAGCACTTGATAATGCTGATTAAATAACTAATTAATCATTTTTAGTCAAATAGAAACAGCTCTTGATCCTCTTTGAAGGAAGAGACTTTTTAGCTGGAGCCTGCCGGCTTGTGGATTTTCTCACTTGCAATTTCACTTAAACTCCAATGTTATTATAGAAAGAAGTGAAGTACTTTTGGGCTGGTGGATGAAGGATGTAACTCCCAAGACATGGAGCATGATTGACAACCCTTTTGCAGTTATTAATGTGGGATGCCCACGTCTCCATTGTAACAACAGGAGGAATAGTTAGGAACACATTTTGTTAACAATAGGCTTAGGTGAAAGTAGAGGGTCCATTTTAGCTTAGGAAAAGACAAGTATTTCTACTCAACAGAGTAAACTTATATTTTATATGTTACCCTGCAAGGCAAACTGAGACACTTAGAGAATGTTTTAAAGAGGGAAATAATGGATGTACTGTAAATAAAGTAATCAGAAACAATCTCAAACTTCATATTTTGTTGCAATCACCAGTTGTGTCCAATGGAGAGAATTCAGAACTTAATATTGTTTTTACTGATTTATCTCCTTTTTATTTTTTTTTCAATATTTTTCCTTTCTCTTTACGTAATTATGTGCATTCATTCATGTTCAGCATGAATGTTTAGAGTTTTATAGAGATTTTTAATTATTTCTTAAAATTGTACAATGATCCCAGTTTTATATAATTCGTTAATGAAACAAAGAGTTTTTAATCTTATGAAATGGTAAAGCCTTTGTTTATTCTTCATCCATTGTTTTCTCCATTTCTGTTTTTCCCTCTTATGCAGCTATTTATTCCATTCTTTAAATATTAACAAATAAAATATTAATTTAAGGGAAAAAAAATAGCAAGTTTCCTTTTTCTGTTTTGTTTTCATCCAAAAGGAAGCTAAACCAGCTTCCATCATACTCAAACCATCAAACAAGGGTAGGTAACCTTTCTTCCCCCCCCCCACTCTGTATAGCCATTTCTTAACTTTTCTCCATGGACTGAAACTCTACCACTCATGTATAAGACAGAATAATTTACATCACTGGAGGAATTTCAACAGATGTAGAAATTTTGGAGATTTAAAAAAAATAATCATGTAATCTATGGGTTGAGCATGCCAAATGGGGCCAAATACAAAATTTAGATGACTGTTGGATTGGATAAAACAGGGGAATAAAAGCCAACATAAGATTTGTAATATGGGTAATCCTCAATTTACAACCATTCATTTAATGACTGTTTGAAGTTACAATGGCACTGAAAAAAGTTATCCATGACCGTTTTTCACATGACTGTTGCAGCATCCCTGTGGTCACGTGATCAAAATTCAGACACTTGGCAACTGGCATGTATCTAGGACGGTTGCAGTGTCCCAGGGTCATGTAATGCTTGTGACCTTCTGACAAGCAAAGTTAGAATGAGGATACCAGATTCTCTTCATCCTGTGACTAACTTAACAATTGCAGCTACAACAACTGTATGGCTGCCTGTATTTGTCTCTGAATTTTCACAATCTGAACTTTTGCAGCTGTGACTATCAAACAATTTGGTGCACTTTTTTTTTTAAAAAAAATATATTTTTATCCCTTTATTTTTATAAATAACTCAAGGTGGCAAACATATCTAGAGCTCCTCCTGTTTTCCCCACAACAATAATGCTCTGAGGTGAGCTGAAAGAGAGTGACTGGCCCAAAGTCACCTAGCCAGTTTTCCTGCTTAAGACAGGACTAGAACTTCCAGTCGCTTGGTTTCTAGCCTGATGCCTAATCCTGGACCAAACTGGCTCTTTGAGACTGATAATAGTTTATATGTGGCTTGCTTGGAGGTCTAGTCGTTCAGCTCTGCATACAGGTAGTCCTCAACTTACAACAAGTTCATTTGGTGACCGTTCAAAAAAAGGGACTTAATCATGCTACATGATTATTGTAGCATCCCCATGGTCACATGATCAAAATTCAGACACTTGCTATTTATGACGTTTGTAGTGTCCTGGGGTCATGTGATCATCTTTTGCAACCTTCTGACAAGCAAAGTCAATGGGGAAGCTAAATTCACTTAAACAACCATGATACTAACTTAACAATTACAGTTAACAACTGTGACAAGAAAGTTTGTAAAAATCAGGCAAAATGCACTTAACAAACGTCTCACTTAGCAAAAGATATGTTGGGGTCAACTATAGTTGTAAGTCAAGGACTGCCTGTATATCTAAGGCTCAAATATTCACACTTCATTAAGAGTTTGGATCTGTAATAATGCCTCAAGAAATTAATGCTTGAGGAACAGGAGAATGTAAAATGTAATTGTTGTATGTAGAATTGTTCTGAAATGATAAAAAAATCTTAAAACCATGTGTTCGTTATACTAAAAGCATTGTATATATGTAGATATCTGCGGTTTTTTGTATAGATAGAAAGAGGGGGAGAGAAGAAAGGACAGCAACGGAAAACAAAAATGTAAATATCTTGTCAGCTCTGGAAAAGTCTAACCAGGCCTGTAGAAAAAACAAACAGACAATATAATTGTAAGTTGTCCTTGAGGATCTATATAGAGTAAGGGTGTCCAACCTTGACAACTTGAACAGAATTCATCAGCTAATCATGCCAGCTGAGGAATTCTGGGAGTTGAAGTCCACAAGTTTTAAAGTGGGCAAGCTTGGACACCCCTGATTTAGAGTCTAAATGTTGGAACACCATATGGGATTCTGGAGCCAATCACAGGCCATGTCAATATAAACATATTTTGAATTTTCATCTATCTAGCTCCCTTATTTAAAGGGTCTAATACTTATCTACTACAGGTAGTCCTCCACTTATGACTGGTCACTTAGCGACCATTCAAAATTCCAACGGACCTAAAAAATAGGAGTATTTATGACTCAGATATGTGATTCTGACAATTGTCAGAATATTTTGGGTACTGGTAACTGGCCCACATTTACAGCTGTTTGCAGCATCCTGGGTCATGTGACTGTGAGTTATAGCAATAGCAATAGCACTTAGACTTATATACTACTTCACAGTGCTTTACAGCCCTCTGTAACAGGTTTACAGTCAGCATATTACCCCAACTATCTGGCTCCTCGTTTTACTGACCTTGGAAGGATAGAAGGCTGAGTCAACCTTGAGCTGGTAAGGATTGAACTGCTGGCAGTGGGCAGTGAGTTAGCTTGTAATACTAAATTCTAACCATTGCACCACTGCGGCTTTTACTGTATTTATGACATTGTTTGCAAAAAACTGTCATTTGCTTCCAGTTTCTGGCAAAAGATGCTCATTGCAGACTATGAATTCGCTTAATGACTACCACAAAAATTGTTATAAAATTGGGTTGGTCATGTGATGATTTCCTTAAGGACCAGCATAATTCTGGGCTCAGTTGTGTCTGTAAGTCAAGGATTACCTGTATATTGAAAATTCTGTTCCACCAGTCCAGTTTGACTGAATTACAATTTCCTGAGATTTATGCAAATGTTGTCCAACAAATTTGAAGAGGCTGTTCTAGGATTTCTATTCTGTTTGACGTTCTCTGTGACAGAAACTGTCAAGCATTAATTATACATCTCGGAGTTTCTTCCATCTGACACTCCCTAATCACTGGAAGGCAGATTCAGTAGAACCTAGCAACTAATTTCTGGCGAATGAGAATCAGCAAGACTATAATAATCAAGGATTTTAATATGATGCAGTGTCAGTGAGAGTCTAAGTTGCAGTTAGTAATTATATGGTGCAGAACACGGACTGTGGTTTCCCAGAGAATGTGCAGAAGCTTTGGGGATTTCAGTAATAGACACTTGGATATATAGTTCTTACATTAGCATTTGAAGCAGGCTAGCTGGAATATTTATCAAACAGGATAATAAAATACCATGGTATTTACAGCTTCTAAATATTTAAATGTTGGATCTCAAAGATTCTTCTGCAAGTATATTAAATGTGGAATTCTCCTCCCTTCCCATTTTCATTGACAGATTGAGGTCCTGCCTGAAATCATAGATGCAGTGGAAGGGAAAACTGAAGTATTTCTAGATGGTGGAATAAGAAAAGGCACAGATGTTCTCAAAGCCCTGGCTCTTGGGGCCAAAGCAGTCTTTGTAGGAAGGCCTGTAATCTGGGGTCTTGCCTACCAGGTAATATAAACCAGGAATTCAATTCTTTGATGTTTCTCCTTCCCCATTGTAGCAGTCATTGTGCTTCTGGACAAAAACAACAAAGTGATCAGGGCTTTTTTTCTCATAGAACACCCAGAACGGAGTTCCGGCACCTTTTTTGGATGAAACCTTATAGAGTAGGCAAGGCGGGTTGTATGATGTGTGAGAGTTCTGGCACCTTTTTTTTTTTTAAGAAAAAAAGCACTGAAAGTGATAATTATAATGTTAAGAGGACAACTCAAAGGATCTGGCTGGTTAAACTGCATAGCTGGATCCTGAGGCCACTACAATATTTGTATTAGTAACCTGAATGAGGACATGAAGAAAATAGAAGAAAGACATGAAGAAGACATGAATGAATGAAGACATGAAAAAATAAATTTGAAGATGGCAACATAATGCATTGGATTTATGAATGTTCTACACAGTTAAGGATGAACTTAATAGATTTGAGAAATGGGCTAAAAATAATGGATTTCCAATTTGTATTTCAGATTTTATCTTACTCTATTATTTATTTAACAATGATCTTTTAAGACACAACCCACTGGCCTCATAAATTCCAAGCCAGAACACTAGGATACACAAACCAAAGTGCCAAAATTCATAACATGCTACGCCCAAATCATATTATGCATAATTTTAAATCAGCCCATATATAGAGCACCATGCATGTTAACTGAGGCCTTCAGAAAAATAAGCTCATGAGGTCAATTGAATGATTTGGTGTGCTCCGCCATTTTCCCTAATGATTCAAGAGGAAGCATAGGAAGGTTTCAGCTTCTTTTTTCAAAGCAGTAAACAAATGGACCTGAAATTGTTATCGTGAGCTAAGCTGGAGTTGTGGAGAGAAAAGAAAGATTAATCTGCTGGACCAATATGGTGTTTGCCAGTCAGGACAAAGCTAGGACCACCACATTTATATTCTTACAATGTGCTTTAATTTAATCAGGGCGAAGATGGTGTGAAAGAAGTTCTTCAGATATTGAAAGAAGAGTTCAAATTAGCAATGGCGCTCTCTGGTAAGGTGCAGAGCATACAGAGAATCCTCCACTTACAACAGTTTGTTTAGTGATCCTTTGAAGTTACAAAGGCACTGAAACAGTGACTTATGACTCATCCTTGCACTTGCAGTTATGGCAGCATTTCCATGGTCATGTGATCAGAATTTGGATATTTAGCAACCTGCATGTGTTTATGATGGTAGTAGCATCCCAGAGTCATGTGACTGCTATTTGCAGCCTTCCCAGCAAGCTTCCGAAAGGAAAGTCAAAGAGGGAAACCAGGTTCACTTAATGAAAATGGATTCACATAGCTTTGGGATTTGCTTAACAACCATGCCAAAAAGGTTGTAAAATTGAGTGTGACTCACTGAATGCCTTGTTTAGCAACAGAAATGTTGGTCCCAACTGTGGTCATAAGTCAAGGACTAGCTGTACAATGATTATTTTATTTACCCTTTATATGATTACACTTGATCTTTTTTAAGTGCACTTATCTGAATCTTTTATACATCAATTATGAATGCTACTACTTAGTTGTAGTCTTCCTATTTCTAAAAAGTTCATAATAAAAGTTAACAACTATTTTTAATGAAATTCTGTAGGGCCAAACTAAGCCTGACTATTAATGTAGGGTTAAACATGAGGGATTTCTAAAATTCAGATAGAATTAAAAAGACATAACGGTAACAGATAAGAAGATGAGGACCCAGATTGTTGGGGGCAATGTAAATATATATATACATTGCTTACTGGTGTACACTGCTTAGAGAGTGCTTGCACTTAAAGCGGTATATAAGTCTCATAAATAAAATAAAATAAAATAAACAGGGATAAGAGAAGACAACATGCCATACTGTGTTCCCAAGGAAAGTTCCTCTGGGTATAGTATTTTTTAATGGAAAATCCCACATCATCCCAACATCTTTGGAGTAATAGCACTCAGAAATAAAATTAATCTTATGTGGCATCTCAAAGATTAAAAACTATGATACCAAATGGTGCTCTTTAAGGAAGACTATTCCAAAGAGATAGCATTTGAGAGAAGGCATATTATTAGTTATTAGCCACTTATCCTTTCAAAGGAGAGCAGGAGATCCAATGATCTGAATAAATACATACAACAATTTCAAGACTATTATTGGAAATACTTGTTGGAGGCAATTATTCTGAATATAACTATTCATCTTTTTCTTGTCTAGGTTGTCCAAATGTAGAAGCAATAGACAGAACATTGGTACGGAGAGTTCAGTGGGAAGCTTCCAGGATGTAGCTGCATGTGTTGTACAAACCTCAGCTGGTTGTGTATTTGTTGTTACTTATCAAGAATTTGGAATTAAAAATAAATGAAAGCTTCCAGGACAAGTCTTAGTTGGAACTACCAAAGTTGTTTCTTCTGACAATATACCAAATATGTCAATCTCTTTTTAATGACTGGTGTAGTCTCTACTCCTAAGTATCATAAGAATGACTTTTAGACATTTACAGTATATGCTCTTAAAATAAGTGCTGAGTGGATTTCATTACTTTTGAAGAATGTTGCACAGGCTCCAGTGGCCTTGGATAGAATTTTATAACTTTCATTAATGACGAAAGTTGTAGGTTTTCTGATGGATTGAGAGTTACTAAATGGGAGTTATAACTATTACAACTATTAGTAATGGCACTTTGAAGTTGTTGGCTCACATGATTAGCAGCAGTTGATCTCTAAATTAACAGTAAGCAGCAGTATGCATATAATATTAAAATAATATTTATAGTCTGAATGCTTCTTAGTGATTCCAATACTGAATCAAGCCCAAACTGTAGTTCTAAACTTAGTGCCCTAGCATTATCTTTCCCCTTGTCAACTACAATGCAGGAAAGTAAAGCAATTTTTTTTTTAGCCAGAGGACTGCTGAGGTTATGGAGAAAGAAAGTTGTGCCAAATGCCTTTTTACATGTACACACACAGTTGCAAGGGGAAAATGTTTGCAGAGACCATTGGAATCACCTTCCACCTCAAATCTCCTCTAACATCAATGGCAAACATTAGATTATTGATGCAGCTTCCCAGGTTTTCAAATAACCACTCAAACTGTACAGGTAGTGAGACAAACAGACTCAGTATGACCTCCTTTGCTGACATTTACAGGGCAGCCAGAGCCTGTTGGGACCGATACTGCTTCCCACAGCATCCTTAACTTAGAGCAGTCAGACATGCACGTACATGGTTACTGAGGCTAGCTTTATTATTTTTCCTTGAAGAATGTTTACGTTTCTCCAACAAAAATTGTGGGGTTTTTTTTCCAAGTAGGTGTGTTGAGTCATCAAACTAGCAAAAGCACACTCAATTTTATTCCGCTAATTATAATAGTGGTGTGACCTACAAAGCATAACATTAAGTTTAAATGCAAAATAAGTAGACTGATCAACCTTTTTGGTTGGTCTGGAAGTGGGAAGGAAGCAAGGAATGATGGGAGAAAAACAGCCCTTGATCAACTTTAGCACATACAGTTTTAGGAAAGAAAATATATTCCAATTTGCGGCAAGTAACCAATGTGATTTTCTACTGTCTTTTTAATAATTAATAATATACTTATTATAAAAACATTCTGGACCTGGTTTTCAGAAATGGTATCAATTAGCTCCTAATATGTGTCTTATCTAAAGGCTTAGACCAGTTCAGAAGTAAGTAGATTGAGAGCAAATTGTTTTCCATCAATAGTTTAGCCCCATGCTTCATGATGAAAGGTGTTGTAGTGAAACTAAAATTCAGCTTGGTAATGGAGCCTATAGAAAGTAAAGTTTGGAAGCAATTCTAGAGGTCATCTAGTAAAGTGTTATGAGGAATTCTGGGAGCTGAAGTTCACATGTCTCAAAGTGGCCAAATTTGAAAAGCACTGATCTTTTCCAATCCTGTGCACAGAATTTAGGAATCCTGTGCCAGTTTCAATCTGTCCACCCAACCTATCTCACAGGATGGGGAGTGGAGATAAAAATGAGGAAAAAAACACCCGTACATCATATTCATCTTTCCTCCAAAAACAATTATATAAATGTAATGTCTGACTTGGTTACAAAGAAATGCAAGTAGCTATTGGATAAATAATATTTAATTCAGGCAAGGGCATCACATAAAAATATTAAAAATTAAAAAAAAAACCAGAAGATCTCAGGTGATTAGTAAATAACTTTGCTAAGATGCATTAAGATTCCTGAAGCTACTTCAGTATATCCAAACTGATTCTGAGAGCATCAATCACAATTCTTAAGCAACATAAATATGTAACCAGATTCCTAATGACCCTCTCTCCTTACATCTGGTGTATTGCAGCCATTTTGAGTGAGGCAATTAATTATAAGAAACTGATTTGGATGAAAAACTGGATAAGCCATTACTCATCTTACAGGATTTGTGGCCACTGAAATGCCATTGAAATCCTATCAGGTTGTATAGTTAGTAATATACTTTCTTATAATTTCAGTTTGGCTAACCCAAGGCAATCAGCCGCTGTCATGTGGGGAAAATGCTGTTCTCCCCGCAACTCCATGTACTGAATTATAATTCTCCCCCCCCCACTTCCTCCAGTTGAATTTCAGTGTCAGGGTATCATACATAAGCAAGAGCTAGGAATCTTAGCTAGTGGGAGAAGGGCTAGCAAGCACTGAATTGTAAATTTTATAAATATGTAAAATTTAATAATGAAAAATAGGAAGCTTCATCATTTCCAATAACATCCATTCTGGGAGGAGTTGAAGGATGTTAGTGAATGAAACGCGTGCCTTAAGCAAATATTTTAGAACCCAGTTTATTACAACTCCTATAACCCCCACAAAGTGCAAACAACAAAAAAACCCATGTTTTTGTCCCATCCACTCTGGGAAATACTAGACCAGAGGTCTTCAAACTTGGCCCTTTATGACTTGTGGACTTCAACTCCCAGAATTCCTCAGACAGGCATGCTGGCTGAGGAATTCTGGGAGTTGAAGTCTACAAGTCATAAAAGGGCCAAATTTGAAGACCCCTGTTTATACTTACCCAGACGAAAGATGAAAGCTCCTGCTTTTCTCTGTCACAAAGCCATCTTCTTCCACTGTCTAAACACTTGGGACTTAGCAACCCTTCTTTGCCCTATCAAGAATCAAGGCAATATTGCTTTAACATAAATCCATCACGATGATCTTAAGTTTTACTTCTTAGCATGTGAATGAAAAGTCCTGAAGGGAATGCCTCTTTTCCCTTAAGTGGACTAAATACAGGAAAGGAGGTGATCAAAATCTGAAGAAAGAAATTAACAATATTTTATAATATTCTGATGTCAGAAATCATTTGCCCATAACAGCATAGGTTGCAGATGAAAACTTCTGGGAGAATGTATTAGCTGGTGTTTAGGGGGTATCTTCTATGATATTCCAGAGGTGGTCCCCTTTTCTACCCTCAGAATTGGTATTTTCCACATCATCATGATATACAAATTGCCCTGAATAGGCCAGGATGCTATTGCTGAACTAAGAAAAGGTAGGAAAGAAAATTGATGGAGGTGGGGTACAACTAGTGGCAGAGAACAAAACTTGGCCAAAGTGAGAGAACAGCCTTGGTATTTCTTTTATGAAATAGATTGATAAACAGACTTGGTGAAAAGATAAGAGGCAAAAAAGAAGATGAAGCAAAGATGAATGTTGGGTTTTAGCCCTTCAGATAAAAGCATGAAAAAGGTGTCTTTATTCCATCATTAATTTTAATTAGGCAGCAAAGCAAATGAGACTGATTTTATTTTTATTTTCAAGAATATTGTATATATTGAGGAATAAGCCAAGAATTACAGGTTCCAAAATACATCCCACAAATTGGGTTCAGCTTAACTCAGAACCACAATTCAGATTTTAAAAAAAGTTTGTCATGGCCTTAAAACTGCACAGTTTTATAAATGAATGCAACAGTTTGCAGTTTCTCACCTGTCAGCAAGGTTAAAAAATTGAGGGTCAGCTAATCAGAGGTTAATGGTATTTAGGTAGAAATTTCAAGGGTTGGCTTATCCATGGATGGACTTACCCATCATTATCTGTAATACTTCTCAGCTGCTTGCCATGAATTTAACATGAAGTAGGGAGATGAGAAAAAGTTGTGGTGGCTGACCTCTGTGTTTGCCTCCCAGGATTGTCACTACATTTGGAAGAATAATAAGTGCTCTCCCATGGGGCTATTTTTTGTTTTGGGGAGGGAGAATTCATGGTAGAACAGGTGCAGAGACATGGTTAGGATGTTGGACAAGAGCTGGAAGACCCAGGTTCAAGATTATGCCTCATGGATGGTAAGTCATAGTAGCTTCCTCTCCATCATATTTTCTTGCAATATTGGGGTGGGTGGATGGGTGGGAGATGAGAAAAACCAGCACAAAGGTGTGTAGAGATTCCCAGAGAAAATAGCAAGAGATTAAGCCATCAATACTAATATAATATTTCTGTCAGACCTGGAATGGAGAAAGGGGACAATTGTAACCGCAACATTGGGTCCATATGGTTGAAGCCCGATATGGCCTTATAAAATGGAACTGGAGGAATACTTTTCTAAACAATGCATTTTTTCCTACCACATATCACCCTGGAATTTGCTTGCATAGCTTAGATGGCTTTAAAACATGATTCATCTAATTGACAGGAAAGTAAACTTTATCAAATGAGTGGTTAGAAAAATAAAACCTCTCTGTTCTGTGGCAAGGCACTTGAGGGCCAGCCACATAAGGGGTATGCTGGCTGCAATTGTATGTTTTGGCTGTGGGTTTTTTGGTTTTTTTGGGGGGGAAGAAACCAGAATTTTATTGGGGAACCCCCCTCTTAGTGTAAAACTGGTATTTGAGCAGCAGAAAGTTAAACAGGAAAGCAGTTAGGGATTAGATTTTCAGAGTGCTCTGCCAGTTACCAGGACAGAGATTGAAGGAACTGGTTCCTGCTTTTGGGAAGGTTTTGCTTGCAGGTGGAGCTAATCTGTTGGTTGAAACATTTAAGCAGTGTCTTTGTTCATCATATAAATTGTAAAAAAAAAAAAAATGCAAATATTGTCTTGGGTGTTCTTCTTCTAAAGAAAATAAAATATAGTTGATAAATAATGTATCCCTGAGTTTCTTATTGCTCAGGAAGAACAGAGTTGAAACTGGAATATGTGAACAAGCCAAAATGATAATTTCCAAAAGAGTAACCAGGATGCTCTGTTGCAGCCGAAGCCTAATCTTATGACTCCTTAAAGGCTGAATATATTTATTATGACGTAGAGATTTGCAAGGTACAGTTTTCTTCATCAAATCTACTTGTATAGTATTGTATAAAAGCTTATGTTGTATCGTACAAAAGTCTTTGGTGCTGTAGCTGTAAGAACACATATTGCTCCTAAT